AAATTTACTTCAGTTTCAATTGCATGACAGAAAAACACCGGCGGTGATGTCTCTAAAGGAAATTAATTGCATTGCTGCTAAAATTTATTCAGAGTACTTTCCTTAGCTAATGGTTATATTTTAGCTCCAATTTAGGTAAACTACAAAATGGAGGGCCACTTATTTACATCTCATTGAATCACAAAAGTGCCTGTTGTATTATGCTTCTTTCGTTAAAAGGTTCTGACACATGTAAACGAGGTGGTCCAAAGTGGCCCTGCATTCTGTAGCTAATTTCCTTTCTTTATACACCAGAAAATGTTCAGCTACAGCCTCATAACATCGCATTACTTTTAATGTTTTATATAACAAGTACCTTGCATTTGCGATCGATATCTTCCAGAATCACAGCAATTCGTCCATTCATGGTCACTGTCATTCCACCAATGAAGCGAATTTGTTCTTCATGGATTTGAGTGCTGCGCACAAAGTCACAATCTTTGGTAAATATTTCCACATGCAGGGGACCAGGGTCGTCTGGCACTCCTTCCATACCAGCGATGACGACATGTTCACTCCGGTGAAATGCAATTCGAGACCAATAACGTCCTTGGAGTTTAAACTGCTTCAAATGGACACCGTCTTCACTGAATATGTCAACACAAGGAGGAAACGACTCCACTACCATAACAGGGCCATTATTAGCAGCAGTGATATCACTCGCATACTTCAATGTTCCTTCTCCGAACGAACGAACAAACAATCCATCAGAATCATACACAGCTACACTAGACCTTCTCAGTACCAGTACTTGACCTTTGGTGACTGTCAGTCTGCTGTGCCAGGATCTGTCCCAGTCCTCTCCCCTCACAGGAAACTTGTGATACAGGCCAGCGGTGTTGCTAAATTCATAAACAACCAATCCCTTAGATCCAGTCTCCTTCTCGTATCTGACCAGTACATAGATGTTGTCCTGGTTGTCTGTGGCTACATCAAAAGTATATAACTTTGTTTCAACGTCATCATTAGGGACGTTGAAATGTTTTATGAACTGATCATGACCACTAGGGTCAAACATCTTTACGTCATTTTCATACTCTCCAACAATGAATTGTCCGCTGGAGTTTGTAGCGATTCCACTCGGGTTCTTCAGCTTGTGCTCCTCTTCACCCTCCTGACCAAATGAAGATGGCGTAACTAAACAGTGTTCCATGCCCTGTTTACGCAGAACTTCTGCTACTCTCTCGTCACGCAATGGATCCACTTTGTCTTCTCCGATATCAACAGCAGGCCAGATACAGAGGTGGACGTCTTTCCCGACTGTTTGCGTGACATCGTAGATGAAACGATTCGCGTGACAGACACCGGAAATGATCTTCCCGCGTTCGTCTTTACCAAACAAACTCATTGCTGCCTGGAGGCCTTTCTTGAGCTGAACATCAAAATTTTTCTGAACTGCTGACAAATAGTTCAGTTCCTTAACGCACACTCTACATGGTGCTATTGCGTGCTCGGGATTGTCTACTGTCTCCAGTATTGTCGCCATAACTCGATACTGCATTGCTAGAATGCGGTCGGACGTTGCTAGAGCTTCATTTTTAAAGGCCTCTGTTGCTTTTCTGCGAGAATCTTCAAATCTCTTCTTTGCTTTGGAAAGCGCCTCCACAGCTGATCTATCCAGGTCAGTAAGCTCCAACGTTCCCATTCGTACGGCGAGAGAAAATGCTTCATCATAAGCTGCTTGTGTTGTTGCCGCGCTGTGCTCGCTTCCGGACCTTGCTTTGACAAAAAAATCATACAACAACTCGATTCCTTCCTCAAAGAAGCTAATACTTGCTCCCAAATCTTTTCTTGACAATCCATCCAACTTGGACTTAATATCGTCGATTTCGCGGACTATCAATGCACGAAATTTTTGATCCGTCACATCGCCATCTTTCAGCTTCTCCGCCGCCTTATCTCTGCCTTTATCCACCAGCCAGCCAATAGTGACTTTAAAAACAGCTGTCGCAATCGAAGACATGTTAGAGTTTGAAATAAAGATCCCAGAAAGTGTTGTGTGTTTAGTAAAAATGATCTTGTTTTGACCTAGTGTCGCAATTATTAGAAATATGGTTCCAAAAAAATGCCGCGCCGTGAAATAAACACCAAGACCTATCTGTGCTCACACCTGTGCTCAAGTGATGATTGACAGGGGGGCACTGGGTATCACTGTTTGCGTCAATAAACAGGAAATTAATGATAAAGAAATGTCACCTCTCTAATCGAACACCGCTGTAAGGCTGACACGGCTGTCTCGCTGGTCCCAGCTGAATTTCACTTGTTTCTCCTTACATGTGCTCTCTTTAATGAGAACACCTCTCTGAAGAAGATAGCTAGCGCTGCTGCTGACTGTGTCCCTGTAAGACACCAACGAACTCCATATTCCGACGTTTCGTGTTGTTTCTCTGTCCCTCTTTTGTTTTAAAGTCCCTCGTGTTTTTTTTTTAATTCTGAAGATCAAGATAGCTGACAACGGGCCAATAATATCAGTTGCACTTTTGTAGCGCGCCATGCATGGATTTACTCTCATAACAACATAAATCATAACTGAGATAAACCAAGCTGAAAGATTGGAATTGCGCCTCTAAAAAAACACCAAAATATGTATCCAGATCTAATTTTAAAACCTGCTCATATTTGGCGTCCAGATCTTTAATGATGGCTTGGCAATTTGTGTTTAACCGCAACGTGAAAGAAGTTACAAAAAAACACAAACTGTTCTTTCTTCGTTCATTAATGAATGTTTTCATTCCTTGCGTTCCTTCACGAATTTACTGAGAACTGAAACGTTTCACAGCTTTTCAGAGGTTAAAGTTGACAGGGGTTTTTGATCATTGCTAGAAGAAACAATGACAGCGATTTATACACTTATTTATTGTGAGCACAAGCTGCCAAAAATAACACCATCACTAAGTTTTTATTGTTCAAAGGTAACTGATGCTGTTCACATGTCAGGCACATGCGTTCTAAGTCGCTCCGACATTTAACATCAGCCTCTCAGTTGTAGCTTTACTCGCCATAGCATGAAATTGAAATCTGACGGAATTTTTGTAAACCAAGTAATCTGTAGTTGTTTATCTGTTTTCCGCTTGTTTCATGTTTAACATAACAAATTTTCGGTGATTAGTTCAAAAAGGCAGCTCGTTTGCCCGACGTGTTCAATCGATAGAAGTCGACATCGGAAAACCGTACGATAACTCGATAACGATCGATAATTCTTAATTAAACGTTATCGACTTTATTGATCAATCGATAGAAATCGATACTCACAACCATCGACGTTTTTTAGGATATCGAATTTATCGATTTATCGATTTTATCGCCCTCAGCAAGGACCGTGTATTGTTGACACTAGTAAATCCAAAAATCTGCTTCTTCAGAGGCAGCTTTTCAGAAACTAGCTGTGTTTTGCCTCGATTTTTGCCGACGTTAAACCTATCGTCTATATTTCTTCGCTTTGTCATGTACTTCAGTGTTAAGCTTGTTGGGACATCTTGAGTTACCCTTACAACCTGGTCATACACCCGTCTTTAAGACCTTCTAACCCGCTCATAGCCTGGAGTAAGTTAGCGCAAATAACAAGATCATCAGAATTAAGCAAATGAGTTCAAGAATTTATTTTAAACACTCTGGACAACGATTCATCAGCTCCCTTATTGCACTATGATCCGAGTCAGTGATCTCGGATAATCCTGAAGGAACCTACCCTTAGTATAAACTCTGTTTATTTTCTGATGTTTCGCTGCCCTATAATAAGTGGAGACTTTTGCGCTGAAAAAATCGATAAGTTCGATAAAATCGATCATGTTAATTTAAAAATCGATAATTATTGATTTCTCGCAACTTATCCCTTTCTTGATTTTTATCGATTTCCGATACAATTTATTAATTTCTATCGATTGATATCAATTGCAATTGATTATCGGTTTCATCGATTGAACACGTCCGGCGTTTAGGCCCAGTGTCACTACCTACTGTGATTTGGGTATCCCTGTGATTTGGGTATATCCCCAGTAGGGATACCTGGGGATACCCAAACCACCGAAAGCGTAAAACTGGGGCAAGTGAATCTACTCAAAACCGTTTATCTTCTTTCGAAGCTTTGTCTCAATAAATTAAAGTGTTCTTTAGCTTGATATAAACACATCATGTCTCTGAAAATAGTCGCAATTTATAACAGACTGTCTGATCCGAGTCCGCATTTTAAAAAACGGTATACGAAACCATAGGAAGCCAAAGCTCTATATTAGATTACCTTGGACGTGACTCTTTCTTATAAGCGGTGACACCGTGTTGTGTTATAATTCGATTTAAGGGGGTTTGTATGGGAACGCAACGGGTTTGCTTTAAAATTCAATTATTCTTATATTTTACGAATAAAATTCACTTACCCTGTTGCTGTGTTGTGTTCTTTGTTGTTTGCCAGCTTCTCAGGGAACGATAACTCGCCAAGATCGCGTTAGATCGGCCAAAAAGTAAGGGGATACCCAAATCCTTAGTAATATGGGTATGCCCGTCCAATTTAAAAAATAATAATAAAAATAAAGATATCCAAAAACAAATTTAAAGGGTCTGAATGGGCGATCCACGTGTTGGTTGTCGGTTAAAATTTCATTACGTACTTTGTCGGTTGTCGGTAAATCTGAGTTAATTTTTAGTTGCTAGTCGGGTATTTTCTCCTCGTTTTGTCGGTAGTCAGTAATATTTTTCGCCCTTTGTCGCTAGTCGGTTAACCCCATTCAGACCCTCAATTTACGCCTTACAGTGGCCCGAGAATATCCCCGAATATCTTTGTAGAAAAATTGTTGATCGCGGACTGAAGAAAAATTAACGGGATACGGAATATGGATCTAGTCCAAACATTAACTAGAAGTGAATTACTTTTACCTGTTACACAAACTGATAGGAAATGTCTCATTTCTGAGCAGTTGAGATATTTAAGATAATAACATTGTCTTTTCATTGTACAGTGTTTTCTATTAGACGGATCATAGCAATTTTTCTTGAACAATTCTGTCCAAGGGGGAAAGGTGCAATGAGGTTAACCCTATGTGAAGCCCTGACCCGTAAGACAAGGCCAGAGCACAACACCGGGAACTACGTTCCCAACTCTTTTCTATGGCTGATCTAACTGACTAATCGTGGCAGTTTATTGTTCCTGCACAATTCATTCCAGATCCAATGCTACGCTCACTAGCCAACACATCCCACGGAATCGCCTTCAGGCGTCGTGTTATAATTCCAACCCGTGTGGTATTTTTGAGTAAATGACGTCATTTACTCCGATTCTCAACCAAGACTTGGAACAAGGAAAATTAATGGCGGCTGTAAATTCTCGGAAATAAAGGTCCAAAAAACGTGAGTTCCAATGTTCATAATGGATTGAAATTTGGCAAGATATCTAGAAAAGACCTATTGTGTATGAAAATTTTAAAAAATATGGATATCGAGAATTTGGTCATAGGGGCACTTAAAGCCTAGCTTTCACTACGACATAAGAAAAACGGTACTGAGGACGCCCATAACACAAACATTAGCAGATAGGCATGCGCAGATGAATAATTACGTCATTTTTGGTCCTCCGCGATACAGTAAAACGAGATGGCGGACAATGATGATGTTTGTGCGAGAGCAGAGCGTCCTCACTTGATATAAGCACAAGCACAAGAAGAACAAAAACTTTTGTTCCGCCTGTGCTTCTGCTTACACTTGTGTTGTGCTGTCCTCACTTAAATGTGCTTGTTCTGATGCTCGTGTTGTGGGCGTCCTCAATGCCGTTATGATTATGTTTGTACCTGTGTTTACGTGACAGTGAAAACCACACTTAACTGTTAAAATTACTTTAACTTACTGCAGTGTACTATTGTAAATTACCTTTATTATCTTTGTTGAGACAATTAAATACCGCATGTTTTTAAAATGGCTTCTGCACTTCTTTATGGTATTAATATGGAATTCAAAATTCCGCGTTAAAATTAAATTTAGAGTGTTGCACGATATAGGTATGAATAAATACGGAGCATTTACTCAAAACCTCTATAGTTATATGGAGCAGTGGTTAAGAATATCGCGCTACCAAGACTTATTGAGAGGAGGGAACTTTTCATTGTTTCGTAACTGTCTATTGAAAACAAATAGTCAGGACATAAATAGTTTAAGGTGACAGGTAACAGTTTCCAGCACTTGCTAGCAGTTATACTTTGACGGGTCAATACTACCACATTATATCAAGGGATGTGTGTGCAGGGTCGTAGCTAGTAACAGGCAAACCCAAGCACTTGCCTCAGTCTTTTTTTTTTCATTTTTGTTGTTTATAGTCATCACTGAAACACCCTAAATTCCCAGGAAGAGAATTAAACCATGGACATTGGCTCAGTCACAACTCATTTCTTGGACACTGCAGTAGTCATAATTTGTTTCTGGCTTCGGCCCTGGTCACTGTGTACAACATTAATATCACACAAATGTCCAATCAGTGTTAAACGAGTTGTGATAATCCTCAAGGCATAATAGGTTACCATGAGAACGATTCAACCAGTTAAAAAAACCCTTACCTTTAAGAGTTTATGGTCCAAAAACAAGAGAAAACAAATTGATACAGCTTTTGGGAAAAACTTTAAAAAACCTGTGGGTAGGGTTCAGAGCCTCTTTAAATTTTCGAAAGTTTAAAATGCCTCTGAATCCAACGTTGTATCTTAATATGCCTGTCACAATTGGATAATAAAATGGGTTTCACTGAGACGTTTTTGAATTATGAGCACAAAAAGCTAAATTAAGGATGTTTGCAACGGTTTGAAGCGTTGCCAGGGTAAGCTATTACGCTATGAAGACGACCACAACTTTTTCACCAATAATTGGGCATTTGTGTTGTACCACCAGTTGTAACATCAGTTGATAAAGAGTTGCAGTATTGATCCGTCAAAGTGCAGGAGAGTCAGTCTGTGTCCAGCCACCTCTAAACATTGGGATATAGTTACATCAACAAAATTGAAAAATAACAAAAATTGATACTCGAGGATCTATGCTTATATCTGAACTTCTTGCTAACCTAAAATGGTAATGTCCTGGGGGCTAAAACGAAACCAGCCTTTGTCAGATTCGACTTTTGAAACTAATTCGGTTATGGCAGCAGTCATTGTTGTAGTTAACCTTTCGGCCTTTAGTTCCTTTTCTAAACGTTTCCAACAACTTTGCCTCTCATGGCGGTCTCTATTGTAACTTCGACTAAACGGCTTTTATTATTATTATTATCATTATTATTATTATAACTATTATTATTGATACAACATGAACTACAATAGGACAATTAAAGGAGATACAAAAGATAATACAGAAGGTAATGGTGTGTGTTACAAAAAAAAACAATACAAAAAAGAAGAGAATTACAAACTAATTCAAAGTACATTTTGAGTAGGAAACAATTACCAAATTAATAATTAATTAAATTAATTAATAACTTAACTCAGTAAGTAAAATGAAAAAAAAAAAAA